GGAGCACCTTGAGGAGCACCTTGAGGATTGCCTCAGGGAGCGCCTCCGGAGCACCTTGAGGATTGCCTCAGGGAGCGCTGCAGGGCACGCAGCGCCCTGGGCTCCCAGCACACACATTCACCACAAAGAGCAGCTGCGGTGACTCCACCAACTAAAATCTCAAGCAAAACAAAAGCAAAGGCACTACAATTTTAATGAACAGGACAGCTTTTGGGAGGATGCAACAAGCACCAACCTGTGGCAGGGCTGGGAGGAGAGCGGAAGCAGCACTGCCTTTTCCTGCTGTGGCAGGCAGTTATATGAGCTCTGCTGCTCATGGAGTAGTCTCCGCTGCTCACGTGTGCAGGGCTGTACAGAAACAGCCTACAGGTTACATACAGGTTACATACAGGTAACGGCACGAGCAGCTGCTGTGTGAGCAAGGCTGYACTCTGCGAGCAAGGCAGTGAGATCCTGGGGCCTCGGCAGCTCCCCGGGCGAGCAGCTCCGCGCTCTCGGCACCGTCTGCGGCTGCTCATCCTCCAGCTTTGTAAATGGAATTGTTTGCAATAGTTTAGGAACCTACTTAAATGCAAGGGGATTGTGGAAAAAACAGGAATTGACTGGAGTGGTGAATGTTACGTAGCTAATGCAGATTGTTCTTACTACATAAAGGAGCRAAGGTAAAGGAACGGAACAAGATGTTCCCCTTGGAGTGAGCTGCTGGAACAGACAGCAATGGGATGCTTTGCCCTTGCCCGTATCTTGTTTCCTCTCCTTTTCATTCTGATCCATTCCCTGTGTGCGCGGGATCTTTTTTCCTCCTTTTGCCTTGCCCTTGTTTACCTGCCTGCATCAGTTCTCTCTGATCCCATGCAGTACCCAATTTCATTTGGCTCCAAATTCCTGCTCAAAATGTTTTTCTTAAAGGCTCAAAAATGATCAAAGCCCCCAAATTCATGTAGCATAAAACACCAGGCATCAAAAAATAATTGTGGTTGCGCACCTTAAATGTTGTGGCCCTCACTAGTGTACATTGCTGCTTTCCTTTTTCCTAACTTCCCTCTTTATATAGTTGTCCTGCTTTATTTTGCTTTTAAAGCAATTTACTTACATAGGGAAATAAATGCTGTTGCTCACAAGTTACGGCTGAGATTTCAGACCCYGTTTTTAAGCTGGCATTGCATCTTAAATGCTGGTGTCTTGAATTGTTCAACCGCTTGATGAGCTGGTGAGGACATTGATGCAGAGCTGCCGGGTTAGTTTTAATCTGAATTTGCTTTGTGGGCTGGTTCAGGTCACACGCCGCCCTCGGTGTGGCCGTGTGTCTGCCCGGCAGGCGATATGAACTGGTGGCTGAACGGGCATTACTGCGGGCTGCCGCTGCATGGCAGCATGGGTTTATATAATGTAAAAGTGAGAGTCTGCCCGTGGCCTCGGGAAGGGCTTTGACGCTCTGCTCAGTCCAGAATAGCTGCAGGCTCCCGCTGGAGGGAGCAGGCCTTGTCCTCCTGCCTTCCTGGGTCACACCAYTCGATCCTGATGCTTTCCTTGCGTCGGAATTAGGGATCCCTCAGCTGCTGGGTGAGGAGATGCAGTAAGTTGATCTGGTGAAGAGATCTGGTGAAGAGCCCTTCTTCTTTGGGGGTCAGCTGATCTGATGGAAAAAGTACGTTAACCATTTCATTTGGAAGCTGCAGGATTACTAGACTCGGTAGGAGGAAACAGGAACACAGGGCTGGGGAAGAGCAGAGCCTGGGATTTCACAGGTCTGAATATTGCTCCCGATACAGGAGGAAAGAGGGGGGAAAAAAGAAGTTTTTAAGGAAGTTTCAGAGCCGCTGTTAAAGGAGAGGGCCCTTGACTTTGTTCTGGGAGCATCCTTTGCCCCCGAGTCCCTGTTAATAACCCCAGTGGCCGTGTTACTCAAGCAGCTATTCCAGGAGCTGCTGAGGAGGAGGAGGCAGTGACATGCAAGCCTCGCAGCGGTCACAGGCTGCTGTGGAAGGAGGARAGGAGGGCACGAGCTCTGGTATCGTGCAGACAAACGGGAAAAAGCACTGCTGCAAAATCCGGCTGAGCAGGARCAGGAGGCGGTCTGTAAAGTTTAAATTGTGGAAGAGTAAAGCCAATGTGCAATACAGGCAATGGGATTCTAATCAACACTTGCTGCTTGGTTTTAAATGTTAATGATCAATTTTATTTATTTATTTTTAAAATCAACAGTTCTGCTACGGAAAGAGACGAGTGGTTAGAAGCCATCTCCAGGTCAATTGAAGAATACACAAAAAAGAGAATCACATTTAATCCTAGTAGAAGTCTTGAAGAGGTACACCATACATTACCATTATTTTGTTTCTCTTTTAAATTTAAAGATTCTTAGGAGGTGTTAAGAGAATCAAAAGGCATCTTATGATGAATGATAAAACAGAATAGTAATGATGGGAGTAGATGGTGATAGAACAGAATGGTTATTACTTACATGGAATTACTTATTTCAGAAATTTAAAGTTTTTACTCCACAGAAAAAAAACAACCAACTTTCTCAGTTTTCAGTAATCTTATGAACAGAAAGATGAAATGAGATTTTAATTTATAGTGGCTATTGATAGATATATGCTGGTAAAGCTTGGTAGTCATGCAGCCTTCATGAACCAGTTAAATGCAGCTTTTTCTTCAGGCTTGTSTTTTGATAATGGCCACGGGTGAAACAGTCGATAACCTTTATTTAACACGATGGCTATACATTAGAGAAGGCTTTCCAGCATTGGTAGAGTTAACCCATAACCACTGATAAATATTAATGTATTTTTCATTACTGATTTTGTAACAATATTTCACTATGTTTTCTTAGGCGGATCCAGAGAAACGGGAGGAAAATAGTCCATTAGGATCAAAGGCTCCTATCTGGATTCCTGATACTAGAGCCACTATGTGTATGATCTGTACTAGTGAATTCACCTTGACGTGGAGGAGACATCACTGCAGGGCGTGCGGAAAGGTGAGCAGTTTTGTAATCATCTTTTCCATTAGTCTTTCATTTTTGTGTGACAAATAGGGGTGGAGCCTGGTTGCACTGTACCTGTTTTAAGGGAGCACTGTTGTATGACACAGTAATATGGGTTAAAAGCAGTTAGAGTAAAAAGGGTGTGACGGACTAGTSTTCAGCTTTTAACCTGTTTCATATTTTGTGTTTGGGAATATTGTTTATGGTTGTCTTCTGCTCCTCCAACTATATAATGCAAAGCAGGGATGTTATAGCTGAATTGTTCAAAATATCTTGAGCAAGGATGTTACGGCTGAATTGTTCAAAAAATCTTGATCTCTAATTTTCATAAATGATTCATTTTTTATTTTAGGACCAAACTTATTTAATATTTAACTACTATGAAATACCTGATTACCTAGTAAACCTTTCTATTTCTCAGAATACCAAATTCACTGTAATTGAGACATCTGCCTTGCAGAGAAATTGTCAAGAGAGCAATGACTGCTTTTAGTTATTTCGTGGAAAGCTTCTGAATTCAATAGTTTTCAGAAGCACAGGCTTACTCTACTTTTCATGAATGTTTAACACTAGCTTATTGAGTCGCATAATTCAGTGATTTTTTCTATTTAAATTTTTATCAGTTGCAGAAAATGGTTGGTCAGCTGAGATCTCTCACGGAAAAATGTTGAATGCATAGGGAAAAGCCAAGATCATCTTCAATATAAAATAAAAGCCCATTTGAAGTTCAGTTATGGGCCTATCCGTACTGAAGTGTGCACCTCTGAGATATTTGGTGTTTTAAAGATACCATTCATGTACAGTAATGCTTTTGTTTGTTCACAGATTGTCTGTCAAGCTTGTTCATCAAACAAACATGGCTTAGACTATATGAAAAACCAGCCAGCAAGAGTATGTGATCATTGCTTCAGAGAATTACAGAAACAAGGTAAAGAAAATCTGCCCAACTTGTCAGTCCTATTTCTGTAGCCCTTACTGCCACAGTAAGTGCTTCACCTTTACTGAGTTCTTTTTGCAATGCCCCTTAGAAGTAGAAAAGTGCTATCAAGGAATTGACATGCAGAGATGTCAAAAGGAGGATTAATGAGGCTTAAGACAGCCCTCCTCCTTCCAGGCTGGGCTGGAAAGTAGTGGTGGGTGTTGCTGGAAAAAGAAGCCCTAAAGGAATGAAGTTTTGCAGAAGTCTCTCCAGGGAGATGCAGGAGCTGCCCAGGACAGAGCAGAAGGGCAGGGCGTGCTCTGGAAATGGGAATGAATTCAAAGGGTGCCTTGGCATGAGACTGGAAGAGGAGCCCTACTGCACCCATACTGAGAAAAGCAAAGTGTAGTGAACTGAGGGAGGGACAGAGAGCTGGGGGACAGAGCTGAAGCACACACTGAACCGCGGTAGATGTCTTTAGATATTTTTAATAGTCTTTACGACTTAACTTTTTTACCCTAAGTATAGGCAAAAGTAGTTCAACATCAAGAAAATAGGCTTTGAAATCAAACAAGACCGATCTGTTTAGTTTTAAACTTCTTAGGCTTTTTAGCTTTATCATGAGTTGGAGAGCTTCTGACTCATCATGTAAATTCAACACTGAATTTACTGCTCTTAGGATTATAGGCATTATAGGCAGAGTGGCAAAAAATGAACAGCTTTACATTTGGAGTACTGTAATCCAAATAAAAATATCATCTGCTTTTAAGAAAAAATATCCAGGATCATTGCCTGTATTTAGTCATCTGTGACATGAAAAGCATCTATATTCCTCCCATGCATTTTAGATAACCAGTATACTCCCAAGAGTGGCTCTCCAGTCAACCATAAATCTCCATCCAGTGCCTTGTCTACAGTGTTGCACAGTATCCCATCAGGAAGAAAGCAGAAAAAAATTCCTGCAGCTCTCAAAGAAGTAAGTGCTTTATCAGTCAAAAATAATGCTTTATTGGTATTATATCAACAAGATTAATGATGGAAAAGTAATTGATATTTTAGCGGTCTTCTCTACAATGAAAAGTTAAAATTCATCTGTGATACTGGTTTGGGCTTCAGTTTTACTCTAGGCAGGGTCCTGAACTGTGAAGTATTAGAAAGGCTCTAAGACTAAAAAGTGTTTTAGAGTGTAAGGTGCTAGTAAGTTGGAAATGTGTGAAAATAGCTACTTACCAGAACATAGAAGAACAGAGTCTTCTTTCTTATATGTGTCAGTTTTAGCTTCTTGTGTTTTGGTGCTGAGCAGGTCAACCCTGAAGGTGTAAAAATTATAATTTGAATTCTGTTGTGATGAGAATCTTCCTCCTGCTTCCTTCCCACAGGGAGAAGTTCCTGTGTTAAGTTACTGATCAGAACTGTTCTAATCAGTACTTAAATAAGCAGTATTTTGTCAGTCTGAGTTTGGAGCTACACGTTGGTGTTGTTTCTCCGTATTACCAGAATATGATCTACGTCTGAACAATTTTAACACTGGGTTTTGATATGATACCTTGARCACAGGGAATGTGATGAGGCCTACAATTATTTCAGTTGGCCTGCTATGCTGTTATCTTGTCCTTTAGAAGACTCCCTGTGCAGTCTGTGCAGCCTGCAGAGCCGCGCTGCAGAGCCAGGCTCAGCTGGGGCTGCCCTTTCGTTGCAGGTTTCAGCAAACACRGAAGACTCTACAATGAGCGGCTACTTGCACAGATCTAAGGGCAGCAAGAAACCTTGGAAGCACCTCTGGTTTGTTATAAAAAATAAGGTGCTCTACACATACGCTGCGAGTGAGGTAAGAGCCAACACCCTAGAAGCCAAATAAACATCCAGTGATACAACTGCATTTGTAACAAAATTATTCATGCTTAGGACCTAGAAACAAGCTCTAAAAAGAGATCACCTGACAGTAATTGATCTGATTGCCGTCTGGTGCTCCGAGAAGGCCCAGTGAGCTGGGTAGAGCAGTGCTGTGCTATAGCTCTGCCCTTTCTGATTCCAGACGTAGCTTGAGCAGCCCTGCGCGGCACAGCCTTGCGCAGCTGTAGGTATGTTCCGAGTCCCTCACACACGTGGTGGTGTCACCATTGCAATAGTGACAAAACCGACAGCATCTGGAAGTGTCTCAGTTTGCAGTTCCATAAGGTAATTTGTATGCTTGGGAAATGAGCAAACTAAATCTCTTGACTTTTACGCAAGCTGTCTCTTTCAGTCCRGAGTTAACATTTAGTAAAAGCTGCTGCAGTAGAAACTAAGAAGTGCATCTAATGGCTATTTTTTTTTCTTCTTTAGTTTGTTTAGTGCAATTTTGGTATGTGGTAATATTTATTCTCTAACTGGTATATAAAGCTCTGCACATGCTGGGGATATTGTGGTTTTTTTCCCATATCTATAACATTTTGCAACATGTTTTGGATGTTTTCTAGAGCTGCAAGATTTGGCTTAGATTCTTTGTATTACATACTATAGCTTAAAGCTTTCAAGAGAAAAATACCAAATATGCAAAGCATCTATTTAGAAGCATTGCTATCCCTCATTTTCTTTGGAAATGGTAGGGCCAAACCTATCCCAACCTTCTGTGTAAACAATAGCAAGAGAATACTCTGGTAGTGGCATAAAGACACAGAATGATAAAACAGATTGCTAAGCCTGCTTTGCCTGTCTTTCATAGTCAAGAAATTCTGCATTGAAAGGAGGCTCTTGTTTTGATCTAGAGGCCACTGCCCAAGTCTTCACCTGATGTGCCAGCACTTCTGTGCATTCCTGGTTCGTGTTCTCTATCCACAAGCATTGCAGGATCTGGTCTAGCTGCACAACAGTATTATGGAGGTTGCCCTGGATGTAAATACTTTTCCAGAAAGAACAGGAGCTTTATAAACTAAAAGATAAGAATATCATAAAGGGGAGTCATTGGGATGAATGTTGAAGGAAAAATGATTTTTTTAGCTTGATTTTGAATATAAACGAAGTTAAAAGAGTGTTAAGAAGGGGAAATATCATTCGTATTTACCCTGTTGTTACTCGTTCCTAGCCAAGCACTTTTGAATAGTCAAAAACTCTGTTTTATCAGCCCATAGACCTCGTCCATAGCTCTGTAGTCCGCCCCGCAGCTCCCTGCGCTGATGAGCCCAGGAACACATTTCACACCACCACGAGCCCGACCACAAATACCAGCTGCACGGTGCCCAGAGTGCTACCTGAGCACGCCTTATAAATGCACTTAGTCTCTCCCCTGCAGCACTTTTCAGACTTGAAAACTCCTTAATGCTGCTGGAGACAGCACGGGGCAAGCTGGGGCTAAGTYTGCAGGCAGTGCTGCTGGATGCTTTGAGACACAGCAAGGGCTTACGGGGCAGGAGGAGGAGAGGAGGCTGGTGTTGGCAGCGAGGGAGAGCAGAGCTGAGGCCTGTAAGCTTGGTTATTTCCCCTTCACTCTTCCATGCATGGAGGCTATAAAAATGGCATTTTGTGCATGACCRTGTGTGACAACTTGTTTGACCGGCTGTAATGGTATGGTGCATGAGCAAGGAACTGCTCTGTGTGTCTGATGAGCTCTGGTTTTGTCTTGTTTTCTTTTTCCCACTAAAATAGGACGTGGCAGCATTAGAGAGCCAGCCTTTACTGGGATTCACAGTCAGTGAAGTGAAAGATGAAAACTCAGAGTCTAGAGTATTCCAATTACTGCACAAAAACACTTTATTTTACATATTCAAGGCAGATGATCCTCATTCGGCTCAAAAGTAAGAAACTTTTTGAATTCATTCCTGTTCCCTTGTTTTGTTTTCCTAGGGAAAGGGTTTCAAAAGTCATGAATATTAATAGTCAAGGATTAAGTATGTGTATGAAAGGTGCATATTATATATRTACCTGTATGATATGTAAATCTTTGCTATGAAAATAAAATGAGCTGTTTAAACAGAAGATGCTGGTTTCTTTAGGACTTCTGAGATAATGGCCAGAAAGAGTTAAATTGGGTAAAACCTTCTCTTTTTTTGCTTTAAATAAAGAAGCAGACTTTGCTTTGCAGAAGAATGAAAGCAATAAAATGGGAAAGTATAAGATAGTATCTTTTTTGATGATTAACCYTTCTTTCATCTCCTTCCCTGTTTTGTTCAAATGAAAATTGAATGTTAGCCTAGTAGAAAAGCATAAAGCATGTTGTGACAGTTAACATTTTACAATGATTTTTTTTTTCCTCACTCAGTTCTTGGAAGATTTGCACTTAACATCATATCAGGGTTTGCTTAATTTTCAATCTGAACTTTATTTCAGTGGGAGCTTTATTCCCTTTACTTGCAACTTCTTGAAAAGCTCCACGCATTTTATTTCAGGAGGGGGGAAATACAAGAAAAAATACTGTCATTTACCATAACATTTATCAGCAACTTTCTAATAACTGTTAATTTTCTGATAGGTGGATAGAAGCTTTCCAAGAAGGCACCATATTATAATGGARTCAGCTGCGTGTCTGCAAATCTAAATCAAAATGTCTGAAGATGATGGAAAACACACAGAGTGCAGCACCATTGTTCAAAGAAATGGAATCCTGCCATATCAGCCTACACAAAATTGTATATTTGTCAGAATTAGGAATTGTTGCTTTTTTTTAGTGCAAGGTAATATTTTTTAAAGAATTGTGTGTATTTCTGTGTTGATACAAAATGTGTTATTTATTAAATTCCAATGTTTACTTTAATGGTCATAATTATTTGTAAGGTCTGCATTGAAGCCCCAAATGCCCATGTCTTCAGAATGGAAAGTAGTTGGTCAAAATATTCTTGGATTTTTTTATTTTAGGAAAAAAGGACAAACTTTATTGCAATTATATATTACTTCATATTTCTTAGTTTCTTGAATTGCTGATACTTGCTTTGCAGTTTAGCAAGAACAGATCAGATCAGGAATTTTCAAGGAGATTTTTCGACCTTTGTTGGTTGGGTAAATTCCTTTGTGGGAAGCTGTAGTGCTGCTGCTCTTCTTCAATGGCAGCTCAAGCCCTGTACAGCATCCTAGTACAACAAGTGTGTGTCACAGAAGGTCTTGTAAAATACAGTCCAATTTTTTAAGAAGAGGAAAGGGAAAATTATTTTAAAACAGACTTTGCAATTACTGAACTAATGCACTAGAGTTTTACAATATTACAGGAACCAAAGAGACTAAATTTATTATCTTTTAAAAAAAGATCAGGATATATATTTTCTTTTATGTTTCCAGTAGTAAATTAAAATAGAGTCAAAATGATTTTTCCACGTACAGAGAACGATTACATATCTCAGAATCCCTCACGAGTTCTGTACATAGTATGAAATAAGGCATAAAATACTGCTCAAAAGCATTAAATAAGTATATGCCATTCCCCAAAATCTTAAAATATTGTATGCATGAGTATTATGATTAAACTGGAATTGCCATAGCAAGACACCACAGCTTTTTTTTAGTGTAGATGGCATTGAAAATGCATACCATTTTTTGAATCTTTTGTTTACACTGTGGTTTGTTCTTTTGGACACTTTAAAACACTTTTTTTAACTATAGGAAACTGTCAGTATACCTCATTAGGAAATTACTTACTGATGATTCTGGTGCATTCTATTTAAATTTTGGAAAACTGTTAACACTGTAATAGCATAAATGGAACTAGAACTATGAAAAGCACATGAAAGGAAGTCATTTTTATGTCTAATGTGATGAGTATGTAGCCAGCCAGTTAACTTTGCTGTATGTTACATTTTTCAGTGATCCTCTGGATCAAGTTAGTTTTGGTGACAGGATTAAGAGCAATTCATTTTTAAACTGCTGTTTTAAATGCATGTTGACAGCTATTTTATGGCCTCACAAAGTAAAACTGGGAGAGAATTTGAGTTAGAGATTTCCTCTGAGTTATTCCCAAGTAGAGATTTCYTCTGACTTATCCCCAATTACCTGTGTGGATGGAAGTTCCCAAATGGACAAAAAGCTGGGAGCATCAGTTTTTGCCGATACGATCTGACTGATGTCCTGGTTTGGGAGAGCATTTGCACCTGTTTACATGGAATGATCTGGGGGTGACTATCCCTGCAACGTGGGGGACGTGCACAACTGTTGAGGAGCGGAGGATTTAGCCACGTTTGCTCACGGTGACTGTGAGCTCTGTGGACGTGCCCAAGGCTGCCCTACTGCAGGTCGTTACCCGAGGCAGCTTCCCAATGTGTAGACGACCCTAGAAAATAGCAGAAGGGATTAATTAGCCACGGGCATCAAGGAAAGGCCAAGAAGGAAAATGCAACCCAGAACACGTGCTGTACTCTCAAAGCAGTACCTCGAGCTCAGGTTCAGGACATGAACATGAGCTGCTCTGAGGACAGCAGCCTTCCTGAGCTCCTCTGCAGGTAGCAGGGAGGCAGGAACCTAGTGCTTCAAGGAACTGTATTGACTTCCAGCATTTCAGAAGTCATGAGGACCTATCTGAACCAGGGATTTAAGGCTCTTGATCTGGCATCACTAGAGATTTGACCACACAGTAGTTGCAGACCAGTGGGACTCAGATCAAAGCCTTCATTCACACTTTTTAAATACAAATGTGATCAATATTCTTTTGTTACATATATAAATGGTTTGTGTAACTTTTCAGAAACAGCTGCTGACTGAAGCCAAGTAAGCTACTAGCATGTCTCTTCAGGTGATTCCTGACATGCTTTTATTGCRTCCAAAATAAAGCTGATACTAATAGAGCATAGATGTAACATGGTTCTTTCAGTTGATTTTATCAAAGGGAAGAACTTCTTAATATTTTTGTATGAACTGCACACCAGCTGAGATGGAGAGTCTCTGAGCCTGCAAATAAAACATACATTCATGGCTAGAGGCAAGCTAATTGTTTTAAATTTATGGTTTGATATTGATTTATGCACTGCAAAATTGAAACACAGCAATAAAAATCTAAACACAGAGCAAAGTGCCCAAATTTTGCTTCAGGTATGGCATAAAACTACCTCTAAATGGTTTGGCACAGGATAGGAAAATAAAGTGTTCTGTAGAAGCCAGAGAACTTCCAGAAGCAGTTAGCAACCAAAAATCATTCTGTGAAACAAATACATTTGAATACAGCCTTAGAAACATTTAAGCAGACATGTTGCAGTCAAATGCTGTATAAAGTAGGTGAAATTTTGTCTGTATACACACATTTGAATATTTATTTTCTGCTTTCCCTAGTACTAGTGGTTTCTATCATATGAAAAAAAATTCCAAGACCCACAACATAGGTATTTCCAATAATGTTTTCAAATGCCTGCTTTTCAAACTATTGCCCAATTTCTCCCTCCTGCCCTTCTATTCATTGCCAACGAAGGTCAAGTATTCACTTCTACATTTGATTCGTTACAGCAGTAGATCTATTAAACAAGACCTATAGTTTTTAAACACCTGGTTACCTCTTATAAAGATCTATGGTTAATAGTAATTTTAAGTTGGTGAGTAGAGTATTTGACAAACATTTATATTGAAGATTAGTTCTCGCATCCTTAATCTTGGTAAATGAAATAGTTTAGGATGCTGAATTGTCTTTGAGGAATCACTGACTTAAAACTYTTTATTTTTCCCATTGTACTTGAGATAAATGAAGGGAGGAAGAAGTATGGAACATATTTTCCTACAATTTTTTTGTGTATGGAGAGTGGACTACCAAATTATTTATATTACACCACAAGGTAAAGAGTTGTTTGGAGAGACACATTCGGTGCATTTGTTTGCCCTAGTTCCTGWCCAGTGAATTTACCACCCAAATATACTTTTATTTGGAGCAGTTCCAAACTGTAWTGTCTAAATGAAAGAATAGAACCTTTATTTTGTAAATTAAAAGTGCCATTTTTTTTTGTAAATATTCTTGTGGATATGTATCATTTTTGTAAAAATAAATTCACATTAATTGAATGTCTTGTGGGTTTTTTTTTAATGTATATTTTCAGGTCATTTATTTATTATGTAATTCACCTACTTGTAGATTTCCAAATGGCAGAGTATGTTGTTGTTATGTTGCGTATCTGCTTTAATTTAAAGTCTATACGAGGTTTGGTCATTGCAAACACAAGAAAATGTGAAAAAGTACCTATCTGCACGGGCTGGCGTATTGCTGCTGAGTTTGCTGACCACCTGAAACGAGTTTTAGGTTGTCTTGCTTATGTCAATTAAGACACTGCATGCTCTTCCTGCCAAGAAGTGACATCTTTGCCGTGAAACTGTTTCCCTCTTCCTGCCTTGATGCCTTTCCCATAGCTGCTGCTTGCTGTCCCGTTCTCCCCGTTTCCCTCTTCGCCGGGGGTTAACACTGGTGCCCACAATGCCAAGTGCAGCAGCCCGAGTTACTCCGGAGCTGTCCTGCAGGACACCAAGGAGTGGGAATGCGTCTCCTGGAGGTGCAGCATCCCTTCTCACCTAGGCTGGGAATGAGGCAGGCTCCCTTGCCGACGGTCAATCCAAATTAAAAACTATGAATGCAGTGTTCCTGAGTGTTTAGCAGTGTAGGCTGGACAGGGCCAGGGCTCTGGGAACAATGAAAGGGCTGCCAGCTCAGTCTCCCGGTCAAAGCTGTTGGGAAAGCATTTTGTCCCAGATTTTTGTTGGGATACACTATCTGATTATCCAATTCCTAGTGGTTATCCTAGCCCATACTCAAGCTAAATGAACTCTTTAGGACATGGATGCTTTAGCATACATGGCAGAGAGAGCAGCCTTCGAAATAACCATTCCAAAGATTCAGGGAAGTTATTTATGGCTAGGTAGAATGCAGGATGTTACATCGATAAATGTTTTTACTAAATTCCTTTCTATTGTGCCAAAGTGTGCCTGTATCACAGCTTCTGTTGCTGTAAGTAGAGCCTATATGGAAGAGATTTTCCTGTCAGCTTGGCTACGCTACGCTGCCTCCTTCACCAACAGATGTTTGAAAGCACTTTTCCTTGGTAACTTTGCAGTAATAACATAAAGGATTTTGCTTTCATGAATATTTTTGGTAGGGATGTATCTCTGTCTCATAATCCCGCCTGGCACCGCTGCATGGATTCTGCCTTTGTCACACAGACGGGATGTGAAGCGGGTAGCTTACAAAATGTAAACACTTCCTTGGCTACAGTGCCATTTCTGCTCTGTGGGGAATATCGAAGTGCTGACGTGAAGTGAACTTGGTGCAATTCCTTGGTATTTGTTAAATTAAAGTGCAATAAGCTTCACGCGGGAAGCCGACACACGGCTCAGGCTGCTTTTGGAAGGGGCGGGTACAGTAAATTGGAAATGCTGTAACATGCCACACTTCAGGAAATAGCTAGGAAGTTAACTACTCAAAGGTAATTTTTCCCTGTTGCATTTAGCTTTAGAGCATGTATTTGATCAAAAAGCCTAATATGAAGTTTGCCCAGGCTGACTGGGCTGGTCATCTTCAACAGCCCAGAGGCAACTCCAGCAGTAAGAGCTGGTGCGACAAGGATGGGAATGATTTTGGAAACACCAACAGGCAGACAGTTTGTATTCCGCAGCGTGGTTCATTTCTCCGCTTCCCAGAGGTTAGTGCTGCCCTCATCTGATTCAGCAGGAATCACAGAACGCAGTCTGAACGATTTCTAAAAACCGGGTAACCGCGCGCGTGGCCACGGTGGCCTCTGTGCTTCGCACAGCCCCCCGGCGCCGGGGCTCCCCCCGGGGCTCTCCCCACGGGCGAGCGCGGCCCGCCGGGCAGGGCAGCTCCCCCCAGGCCCTTCCCCGCTCCCCCAGGGCGGTT